GGTCCAACTGAGAGTTCTCTCGACTCCACACCACCTGATGGCGGATAGAAAATGCCCATTGTGGATGTGCCCGCGAGATGGAAGCCGCTGCGACATCGAAGAACTTCTCTGATGGTCCGAACAAAGCAAGGTTCGCGCGTTTGCGGATACAATGTGGTGTACGAACAACATAATATATCCCTGCATAATTTTCCCACCGCAAATAACTCCCGTACTCTTGAGAACATATCCATTGAGCGTGAATAGTTATTCACCCTGGTGGCCTTATATAATTCGATCGATGTGAGTTATATGACTTGAGCGCAATGCAACTAGGCAGCATATTGCCGTAACGCGCGACAGGAATCATATCATGTTTTGAAGCACTCACAGATTTAGGGTCATCTAACTGGCCAAGCTGACTTTACGAAAAGCATATTGCTGTGAGCTGTGATTATTTTGCCCTGCATTGTCACATGACACGTCGTCATGCAACACGCACCCCATGACATACCGCAAGAAAGAATACCCGACGTGCATACATATTACAGGCATTCAGTTGTCGATGCACCCACGTAGGCTTGCTGAAGTGAGCGCGACATTTCCGAGCGTGTTCTAACGACTGTACAGTCGAACCCAGGTCAAGTGATGGAACCTCAGCCTCCGTGTCCGTTTTGTCTCACCCGCTTCCATTGCGACGGTGGCAATGATAAAAAATGCAATAAATACCGTCCTTATCCATTATCAGCTAGCTTAGAACGAACCGGTTGGCATGACTCTACGTTAGAATAGCCCTATTTCGGTGCCGTGGATCATTATTGCATGATTCAATTACTGTCAGTTCATCTCCGATTAACTTGAGACCTTCTCTGCCCACAGTGGACTTTTTCTCCGCCCTTCGACACGGTTCTGAACGCATGCATGCCACACTAGATTGACATATGTCCATTGGCCGCACTCAGAGCAACCATAGTGTAGATAGAATAGAACAGCAACGCAGCGGATGATCACTGTAATCAGTACGCTAGGCCAATATATTGAGACGTGTATTGCATTCAAAATGCTTCTATACTTTTGTGGTTTCGTTCAGCTCGTAGGACGAAACCTCAAACGAATTGTTAACGACTTCACAACTAAAAGGAGATTTTTGGTGCCACACATAATCATGTTTTACGATATTGTTCCCGACTGGGTAGTGCAATGGTGGTTGAGCAGCGCGGACATGTGCTATGAAAGGACAACAGAAACCACATTGCACTGGTGGTTGTTAGCAGCATGGGAAGAAAATTGCCAGCTACAACAAGTGCGTATACAGCAAACACATTTGAACTGCTCCTACTACGCACATGTGTATGAACCTTGTGCTATACACGGCAACTAAACGTAGTTCCTTACTTCAGCGTGGGGATCAGCAAACACGAAGCAGATGAGCTTCACTTGATAGCCTTCCCCGGTGTGGACCGTGCTGCTCTCCACCTCCACCTCGGGCGGGTCTGAAGCCAGCGCGGGGTCAGGTCAGTAGCTGGCCACAGCACCCCGCCACCACACGTGAGCATGTGCTTCGTATCGCTCCTCGGAGCTCGCCACAACGCGACACAGCACGTCTCGCGCGCGGAGAACGATGTGCCAAAGTTCGGCTCTGGACACGCAGCTCGGGCGTGATTAAGGATTTATTTGGGAACAGAAAACAGCGGTGCCCATAAATTACTGCAGTTTTTACGACTGACACAGGTATTGAGCGGTGGTAATGGATGACCCGGCCGCCGCGTTTGTCTTGAATTACATGCCCTTAACGACGTGAGCAAGGGATGGGACAAACAAGGGAGCTGAGCATTGATTTCGCATTAGCGCCCGCGATACGCTGATGAGTTCTAATGGTGCGATGAAACAACACAACTTTGATCTTGTAGATCTTTCAAATGTTGTCTTTTTGTGTCTTTGTCTTTATCTTTGCACAACCATGACTTCCAGATCTGCACTTGATCCGTGTTTGCAACGACCCGTTTAGGAAAAGGGCGGCGACTTGTGATGGGTGAATCGGCCGAAAGCTTCATGCTTTGGTGCGGCTCTCAACTGAACGAAGATGTGTTGCTAAATTACACAGCTTCAAAAAGAAGACGTGAAGCTGTAAACAAAACACATCATAAAAGGACATGCTTAACAAATCACGTTAGTAAACGGTAAACGGTGTATCCATGTTGAAAACGGAATGGATTCCTAGAAATAAGAGAGCTGCAGCTGTTGATCCAAAAGATTACCTTGTCCATGATTGCAATCAAATGCAAGCATTTCCTAGGTTGATCTGGGTAATTTCACGTTCGTCTAAAAGGACAGGGCTTGAAGCGTTGACATACTTATTTCTTTCAGCCTCACTTACAAAAGCACTAGGCGCGGCATGGCAGACTGTTTTTTTCAACGTTGCCTGGCCAGATATTAACTTAGGGGCCCGAGCAGTCAGAGATATATTGTCACTTTATAAGTGACCGACATGAAACGGTACAGAGTGATGATATTTTCTGGCTATTGTGCTATCTCTGCACGGGTCAAGTTCGACCTGTCACAAATGTCGAATCATTGTTGGTATTGTAATTTAACAACGCCTTTTACGGCCCCAGTCCTTTGCCGTCTAAATCTCTCAAGCCGATGTACGTGAGGGCGATGAAAACGTTCGACGGGGGCCAGGTTCGAACCCCACAACTTATGGCTTTGAGACGAACACTCTCCGAAATGAGCCACATCGTTCCCAATATCGTGGCCTTGCTTTCAGTTTCAGATGGGTTTATTTAGAACTGTTCGACCCAAAAATATCATTCCAGACAGCGCGATTATGGAGGACAGCACGTGGGCGGTGCTGTGTCCACCCTCTGTTACCCCTTGTCACCTAAGTTCACCCGGCACAGAGACCCTCTACCGGGTGTGCACAGGTGCATTGGTGGAGCACACACCCAGGGCGGCCGCGGGCTGACGCATTGCTCCCGGCCGCCGCGTGCCCCCGGCAAGACGAGGCGTTCGTGTTAGACGAGGTGTTATGAGGAAAAAGCATGAAGTGGAGAATGAGGAGAAGAGAGTGCAAGGGTGGTACTGGGTTGTGAGCCGCGCCAACCCCGTCCGGTCTTGCCCGATATCAATGCTGGTTGTAGCCGACGCATTCACCCTCAAGTACGGTAGAAAGCAGAGGTGTTAGAGGCATCAAAGTGTGGGACTACAATTGACACGTATTCATTTTTGTTACTGCATGACAGGTGTCAAGCCTCAGTACTCACATTGCACCTGGAGACTGATTCTGCCGACTGCCGTGATGCCCAGGCTGTTGTCCGCGACACACTCGTACACCCCCGCCATCTGCCGAGTGACCTCGGAGATAGCGTACCGGGCCCCTGGGTACGTCTCATCGCCGCTGGGCAGACGGCCAGACTGCCAATAGAGGGACAAAGTATCACCACAGAGTACAAACCTGTACAGCCAGATGCTATCAACGTAATATGGAAAATGAAATGTATTTTGAACTGTTACGAAAGTCTGTCCACAAAGATGTTCTGATTAGCCGGGTGTCACGACAGAGGCTTACCTGTACAGATAGCCAGCGATTGACCATGAACGACCATTTACAAACCGCCTGTTGAGAAAAATAAAACCACCATTCAAAGCGCTAGCCTAAGCACCAATGCAAACTTGCACACTCTTTTACACGACTCCAGACCAATCAAAATGGCTTCCAGCCGTGTCAAGGTGCAGTGGTCACCTGCTTCCTCCAAATTATTGTCGGAGGCGGCTTGCCCTCAGCCGAACACTCCAGCACCACGTCCGTCCCTCGCTGGGCCACCACCAGTCCAGATTCCGGGATCGTGGTCACACTGGGACCGTCTGGAAAACCGTTCAGTCAACACACTGCGGGCCCGTTTGAAAACCTCTGTATCCGTACATCACGCATCGCGCACATCACGCGGCAAGATCACCTGGATTAATAGTTCGTATTAACACGCAGGCGTGGACGGACCCAGAAGGTGGCAACGAGCCATAGTCCCCGCAACAAGGCTAGCCGCTAAAAAAGGTCTTGTCATATAAGCATGTCAGTTCTTACCATCTACGACGCAATGTTTGTCGGAATGTACCGCGACGACGTCATTTCATTTCTAGTCACGAGCGATTGATACAAACACCGTTTCAGCATAACCCGCTTTTGTTTAATCGTTCTCCAAATTATGCTACAATAGCTTAAGCTGAAACACAATTGTAGGGGAGCCCAGCTCCGTTCAGCTAATTGCAATGGCCAACTGGTGCGCTTCGTAATTTGGAGGCCGCTGGTAATCTGCAGTACATGAAAGTGTTTCCGTTGGGAAACAGTTTTTGCCAATTTATTTCAAAGTCATTCATTTAAAGAACCTAAACACAGTTTGCATGGTCTGCATTTCAGTGTTTTAAAATCAGGGCACGGCAAAATTGCAAGGAATACAGATTAGCATAATATGCCACACATCGACACATCTCGCGTCCAATCCACACAAAATTTAATCACGGAATCATCTTTTATTCATACGCCATAGCGCTGCAATTATTGGCGGGCTTGGCTGGGGCCGTTCTCGTCCATCACGCGCGCCTTGAAGGCCACCATTCTAGTCGGCTGGGTCGTCGTCTGCGAGTCGGATCCACAGTCCACAGCCCACGGAAACCCCGCCGGGCGGACAGACAGCAAGACCCGAGAACTCTGACCTCTGATCTCGCAGGGCATCCTGAGTCATACACTCTGCTTCGTATGGGCCAGAAATGGCGGAGGGGGGGGGGGGGGTGACCTGATGTGGACTTCGGTTCTAGTCGCGGTCAGAGCTCATCTTTAGGACACTGCATGGGTGCACCACGCGAACCGCAGTTGATGAAGTTCCCGGTTCCGGCATCGGGGTGAAGTACGTGCGAACTAGTCAGTGAGGAAGGTTTGTCTCTTTGCCAGAGTTCGTCTCCGTCAAGTTAAGCTGGCCTTGACGAACGGCTACCGGGGCCTGCACCATGTATTGTACATCGGCGCAAGCGTAGTATCTAGTCTTTCGACGCAGTGATACAGTGCACGCGTCATTGACAGCCAACAGATCGGTGTGATGACGATGACGACCAATGTGCATTACTGCGCTTACCCAACTTCACCAAGGTGTACGCTATGACGAGCCCAGACTGGGTGTTGTGGGTGTTGTAAAAACCAATAAGTTGGCTCTTACGGTCGTTATCATCGCCATAGAGTAAATTATTCCTCCCATACAAGAAGATACCATAGCAGCCAAGAGAATAAACCCGGTAAAAGTTACGCCAACAAAAGACGTTTGTTAATGCCCCCGAGACATGACCCCAACCCCGGGGAAGTCAAAATTCGAGATCCTTGCCAGCGCGCGGTGGCTCCGCGTCCACACAGCCGATGCTGAACTATCGACCCGAACGAGTCTGACCCGGCCGAGCTTGAACAGCTTACCAAATCAGGAAAACCAAGCCATTTCTGGGTGATGTGGTTTATGGGACAGACTATCGAGTGTGGGTGGTCGTTCCCGGGTGGCTGGGTGATTGGAAAGGCCGCGGGCGGCCAGACCCGGACGGACATCGGGCCGCGCCGGCTGACATCTGCCGGCGGCGTCAAGAAACATCCAGCGCCGAAACGCGGGCTGCAGTTGCTGCATAAAGCCAAGGTACGAACTTACACTTTTCAGAATTGTGTCTTAAAGGTATATGGGCTGGAAGCGAGGCGATTTCCATGCCTCCGTTCTCAATGCATTGATGAATTGGATGCGTCTGTGAGCACCAGGGTTGCGTGTTGGATTTCTCAATGATGGGAGCGGAGGAGGAAACACATCAGTGAACATCCAGTTAGGTCGTTTAAGTATATGTACACATCTGTATATGTATATATATATATATATATATATATATATATATATATATATATATATATATATATATGTACATATACATACATACGTATATATATATATATATATATATATATATATATATATATATATATATATATATATATATATATATATGCATATATATATATATATATATATATATATATATATATATACACACATATATATATATATATATATATATATATATATATATATATATATATATATATATATATATATATATATATACATATACATACATACATATATATATATATATATATATATATATATATATATATATATATATATATATATATATGCGTATGTATACATGCATGTATATATGTATATGTATACATATATATATATATATATATATATATATATATATATATATATATATATATATATATATTCAGCGAACATCCGGTTTAGCGCACCGCAGCCGGCTCAAAATGTGTGGTATGACATCAACAACATCGCTTGTTCTCTGTCTTTTTATAATGACGTCCCTACCCCGACAAATGTCGTGCAATAAAACATCCATATAAACGTATTATTTTCAATACAGTCGGCCTGGCAGACATCTTTGCACGCACGGAATGGCATGGGCTAGTCTTCCTTTGTACGCATTTCGGCGCATCTCGAAGGCTGTAATGTATACTTAGGTAACTGCCGGCCAATCCCAGTGACATCTGACTGCCGGCAGTTCTTTTTACTTTCCACTGCCTGCGGTGACCATGAGAACACCGAGATGATCAAGTGATCAGCAGCTAGGCGGTCGGCCTGACGGACGGCTCGGCTGCTCGCTGCGTCGGGGGACTGATCCAGGCAAGCGCATGTCAGATGAAACAACATTCCCTTCCATAAGTAATGAGAGTTTGACTTAGATGTTCATGAGGGAGTCAGGCAATGCCTTGGTCGCGAGGCGCTGGCAGCTGAGGGTTGACCTGCCAGCGGTACTGGAATGGTGTGGCGGTGTGTGCGCTGATGCGCAGGATCGGTCCAGACGCTGCTCATGCTGCAGGACGCACTGCCTCCGTAGAGCCCCACACGCTGGCAGACGCTGCTCATGCTGCAGGACACACTGCCTCCATGGGGCCCCACACGCTGACAGTCGCTGCTCATGCTGCAGGACACACTGCCTCCATGGAGCCCCACACGCTGACAGACGCTGCTCATGCTGCAGGACACACTGCCTCCATGGAGCCCCACACGCTGACAGTCGCTGCTCATGCTGCAGGACACACTGCCTCCATGGAGCCCCACACGCTGACAGTCGCTGCTCATGCTGCAGGACACACTGCCTCCGTAGAGCCCCACACGCTGACAGTCGCTGCTCATGCTGCAGGACACACTGCCTCCATGGAGCCCCACACGCTGACAGTCGCTGCTCATGCTGCAGGACACACTGCCTCCATGGAGCCCCACACGCTGACAGTCGCTACTCATGCTGCAGGACACACTGCCTCCATGGAGCCCCACACGCTGACAGACGCTGCTCATGCTGCAGGACACACTGCCTCCATGGAGCCCCACACGCTGACAGACGCTGCTCATGCTGCAGGACGCACTGCCTCCATGGAGCCCCACACGCTGACAGACGCTGCTCATGCTGCAGGACGCACTGCCTCCATGGAGCCCCACACGCTGACAGACGCTGCTCATGCTGCAGGACACACTGCCTCCATGGAGCCCCACACGCTGACAGACGCTGCTCATGCTGCAGGACACACTGCCTCCATGGAGCCCCACACGCTGACAGACGCTGCTCATGCTGCAGGACACACTGCCTCCATGGAGCCCCACACGCTGACAGACGCTGCTCATGCTGCAGGACACACTGCCTCCATGGAGCCCCACACGCTGACAGACGCTACTCATGCTGCAGGACACATTGCCTCCATGGAGCCCCACACGCTGACAGTCGGTGATGAGGAGCGGCGGACCGGTCGGTCGCTGTCAGCTCAGCAGCTCCGGGCCGGTGTACGCGGCACTCATGTCTCTTGATACCATGAGTATACATGGTATGCCAGGAGCTACTAATACCGTAATTAGGTATTTGAAGGAAAATGTTTCAGCTATTGTAGTGTTCGGGATCGCAGTGATTTAAGCGCCATTCGCTGATGCTGTCGGAAGTGGCGATAGCGGCTTGCGCGCCGCTTGGGGGTAGCGTGGCTGAGAGCGTGGTGCAGGGCGTAAATGAGACGGAGAATACATCGTTTTTTGGTTCCGATCAAGCTGTGTGAAGGGGACCAGCCTGTGTGGCAGAATCGGTTATAGCCTGTGTGGCGCGTAGTCCCGGAAATATTAGAAGATATAACATTAGAGCTTCGTGAAACAGATATCGCTCCGTGATTAAGCTCTTATTCTAGCAGTGGCATTGCAATATTAGGCGAATGATATTACTCAAGGTTTACTCTGGTATTCATTTTTAATTTGTCTCATATTCCGTTGACTGTCACTTCGGATGACGGTATCAACTTCGCAGACAGCTTCTATGCTGCTACTGACAACATCGCCGTAGCCTGATGCGACAGGCTAGCCTCCTCCTTCCCGCTGTCGACGCATGCGCACACGGTCTTGGCGCGTCTCGCACATGATATCGGCAGCACACATTACCCAACCAAGCAGATGCGAGAATCTCTCTTACATACTTGCCAACAGAGTATACGAGAGGAAATATTCGTATACATTTCGAAAGAAATTTGGATTGAGTTCCAGTCAGGTGTCAGCGACGTGACGCTGTTGCTGCGGTGACACGCAGTGACAGCGGCGTTTGCGGGGAGCTTACGACGCCAGCGCTCTCTCGGAGAAGGCAGTGGCATGCGATGAGGTGCAGTGATTGCGGCGCGCGCGGTGGCACGTGGCTGGGCGTGGTCCGGCAGCGTCCCGTGGAACGCCATGCTCTTAATGGGATGTGATGTCTGCACTGGCACGCAGCGCCTGCAACTTGTCGGTGGGGGCGAGAGGCCAGGCGAGGTCCAAGGCGAGACTTTGCACCCGTTGCCGGACGCCATGCCCAGGTCCAGACGCCACGTTCGAGTGGGGAAACCGTGTCCATGTTGGAATGCCGTCTTCGTGATGACAAGTCGTGTCTTGGGTGAGTCACCGCGTCCCATGTGTGAAGCGAGGCCAGGCGTCAGGCGCCGTGTCCTCGGTGACAGGCGTGACCGCCGTGAGACGCCGTGTCCGAGGTGAGAAGTAAGGCCTCAGGTGAGACGTCGTGTCCGAGGTAAGACGGCATGTGTCAGATGGCACGTAGTGTCTCCGGTGAGACGTATTCGCGCTGGACCACTGTATGCGCCCCTCCCGCCGGGAGCGCCGTGCCCCCGGCAAGATATCGCGTTTTAAGAGGCATGCCGCGGCCAAAAATCCGAGAGGCACGCCGTATCCGGAGATTCAAGAGGCACGGCGTATCCGAGGAATCAAGAATCACGCCGTGTCTGAAGAATAAAAAACACGCCGTGCCACAGGAATCAGAAGGTATGTCGTGGTCGAGGAATCAAGAGACACACCGGGTCCGAAGAATCAATGAGCACGCCTTATCCGAAGATCCAAAAACCAGGCCGTGTCCAAAGATTTAAAGGACACGCCGTGTCCAAAGGTTCAAGGGGCATGCCGTGTCCGAAGGGAATGGCCCTATCCAAAGTGAGACACGTGGTCCGACCTGAGACACCGTGCGCGTGATCAGACGCCAGCATCGCCGCGGTTCGTTGTGTCCAACGTCCGCTCTCGCGCCGCGGTGTGACGCTGTCCGGTGTCTCTGCGGTCCGACGCCAGCACCGCCGCGGTTCGTTGTGTCCAACGTCCGCTCTCGCGCCGCGGTGTGACGCTGTCCGGTGTCTCTGCGGTCCGACGCCAGCACCGCCGCGATTCGTTGTGTCCAACGTCCGCTCCCGCGCCGCGGTGTGACGCTGTCCAGCGTCTCTGCGGTCGGACGCGGCGATCCCAACAGCACGTCTTGTGAACGTGTGTCGGTGTGTTATACAGGCCGGTGCCACCGGCACCCACATTTGGACATGGAGCCTTTCTGTTCTGGTTTATTTCGGAAGTTTAGCTGAGATCTTAGAAAATCGGCTTTGTTCTTGTGATCTTGAGGTGCATTTAAATTGCTTTGAATAAATGTGGAATGATAGAGGATGCATCTCACTCTCACGCCTAAAAGTAAATTCAATTCTTGAACGCCGCATCGGTCATCATCCATCAGCTGGTGGCAACAACGTCTAGCCCGTTATCTGCCTGTGCCGAGCCGGCTTGCCGCTAGCATTTCCCGTCAGCGCTGTACTATAAATAAGTTTTTAAAACGCGCCGTATTTTCGCCCACTGGGTTGCCACGTGATTAATGGCGTCACCAGTGGCAGCCCTAGGTTTGCCACATTTACGTCCTAATTACGGCAGGTGCGTTGGAGATTGCGGAACGCGTGAGAAAAGTGTCGATACGCTACATCACTTCTGCCTGTTCTCTATGGGTACAGCGACCTCCCGTCTCTTGCTATGGTGCCCCACATACGCCATATCGAATAACCGACCATAAGCCGGCAGTGGATAGGTCCGCATGAGTGTGTCGTTTGGTGGCTCTACACTTGAACTATTAAAAACACACAGTTTCGCTGTCTTCACTAAAATACAACTCATTTCAGAACGATGCCGTGCTTTAGACCACAGAGCTGCCACGCGACACGTCACATCTCTGACGGTGGTCACAGATTTCTTAAAAGTCGTACTTTTCACAGCAGGTAACTTGGCAGGTGCCGAGTGCACGTGCCAAGAGTTGGCGCGCCGCCAGTATTGGCTTGCGTGCAGTGAGCGCGTAGAGCGCCCGCCCGCCCTCCCGTGTAGTGCCCTGTGAGGATTACATCAAATAGCCGACCAGCGCTGCGTGCCAGCTAGCCGGTTAGCCGCCGAGCGACCGGCTGGGCCTGGCTGGTCAGCCTTGGAAGGCTGGTAAGGTGCTGGAAAATGCATGCGCGCGGATTCAAGCGGTGGATTTGGAATGCATGAAGTCACTCCGTCCGCCGTTCCACGATAATTGTAGCATCCTGCAGGGAATAAATTGGTCATATTTTTCAAATCGTACGCTAAATTTTGATGTGTTTTTAACATGTACACTTAAACTTTAATCCTATCGAATTATTACCAGATATAACGGAAGCTGAAGTCTTTCCATTGGCAGAACAACAATGATGCAATTAGAAATAAAGAAAGGAATTGTTTGTCTTAAGGAGAACTAACAATTGTTTTGCTTTCTGGTAGCAATTTTTGCCAAATTTAATAGTTTTACAGGTTAGTGAGATGCTATCTAAGCAACCACCTGGCATCATTTGGTAAGATTTCAAGCCATTTCCCAAGGCCTGGCAGGTGTTTAAAACATTCCCAGAACCTGAGTTAATCGGCTTTGCCATTGGGATCTTGAGATACATTTTAAGTGATTTGATTAAATAAGACGGTACGCGTTTTCTACATCACACTCAAAAGTAAAGCCAGTTCTGATACCACGCATCATACATTAGCCATCAGCAGGTAACATCACTGACCTGCCGGCTCAACACCGGTGGCTAGCCGGCTAGCCACCGGTGCCGAACCAGTCAGCCACCGGTGTCGAGCCAGTTAGCCACCGGTGTCGAGCCAGTTAGCCACCGGTGTCGAGCCAGTTAGCCACCGGTGTCGAGCCGGCTAGCCACCGGTGTCGAGCCAGTTAGCCACCGGTGTCGAGCCGGCTAGCCACCGGTGTCGAACCAGTCAGCCACCGGTGTCGAGCCAGTTAGCCACCGGTGTCGAGCCAGTTAGCCACCGGTGTCGAGCCGGCTAGCCACCGGTGTCGAGCCAGTTAGCCACCGGTGTCGAGCCAGTTAGCCACCGGTGTCGAGTCGGCCAGCCTTCGAACTGAAAACCGGCTGGCAGGCGGCCAAGCCTTCGCGACTAATCAACCATGCGGCTAGAAGACCCCGCGTCCGAAGCTCTCAATCATCCACAGGTGGCGCCACGTTGAGGCAATTCGACGACAGATCTGACCGGGTCGTGCACGCGTATGGCAGCGCTTCG